TCTCTTCCAAGGCCCCCACTGCCGTTGCGAAGGTCCTGCGGCTTTTCTTTGACTCGGTTGCCCGCTTCCGTTTCTCTTGGCGGTACCACTGGGCACGCTCCGAGGAACCCATCTTGGCCACGCTTCCCCTCAGGGCCTCAGCGCTTTTTCGAGCTTTCTTGGCCTCCTCGCTTTCTTTGGCTTCTTCGGCAGAGCCCTTCTTCGGTGCTTTAGCCATCCGAGAGAGGCACCGGTCTGTGGACGAACAGCAGGAGCAGATCCGCCTCAAGCAGTTCCTTCCAGTTGGGTAGCTCGTCAAGGTGCTTGTCTCTTCCTCACACCTGATGCACATGATGCTCTGAGGCATCTCCTGGTCCGGGGCATCTGTCATGCTTGCTGCGGGGCAGGGGAGCACGAGTGTGGGAGCTGAGGGGCTTGTGGAGCCAAACAAATCGCTGCAGAATGAGATATCCCAAAGACACAAAAACAAGAACCCTGAGTTCAATGGCTGTCATCAGGGAACTACCCGGCAAGCTTACTCAGCGAACACAGAAGGGTTATCGGAAGACTGTTTTGCACTATTCTCAAGCTTGCTGTGTGCACACACACACACACACACATCTGCTCATCCACCTACCATCCTATCAGGTCCTATCTACGAACAGGCAGACCGCCACCATGGCAACCGACACCGCTTAGAAGCGCTAGTCGGAATCCGAGAGGTGGATCGCTTCTTTTGGCAGGTTCAAGTGAGGTGGGAAACGCAGCTTGCTCTGAGCATTCTCTGGCATGTCTCGCCCTGAGCTAGTAGAACGCCTCCGTCTGTCGCCAACCTTGCTTCCGGAGCTTTGTGCTGGCTCAGATTCGTTCTTGGAGCTCTTGCTTGCTGGCGAGAGCCAGTTTTTGGATGAAGCTTTGGCTTTAGCCAAACCCTCGAAGAGGTGTGTTGCTTTCTCACTCAGGACGAGTGGACTCTGTGGCGCAGCATCATCAACGTCCATGCCCGGATCATCATCCGAAAAAAGCTCGTCAACCAGTCGCTCAAGCTCTAGCTCCAAGTCATCGGACTGGTGACGTGGTAAGTCCTGGGTGCTGCCTCCTGGCTGGTGACGTGGTAAGTCCTGGGTGCTGCCTTCTGGCTGGTGACGTGGTAAGTCCTGGGTGCCATCTAAACCAGCTGTGCTGGTGTCACGAGGCAGAGTCTTTGGGGCTTCCTCTTCAGCTGAAGCCTCCGGCTTTGTGCTGGTGTCACGAGGCAGAGTCTTTGGGGCTTCCTCTTCAGCTGAAGCCCCCGGCTTTGTGCTGGTGTCACGGTCACGAGGCAGAGTCTTTGGGGCTTCCTCTTCAGCTGAAGCCTCTGGCTTTGTGCTGGTGTCACGAGGCAGAGTCTTTGGGGCTTCCTCTTCAGCTGAAGCCTCTGGCTTTGCGCTGGTGTCACGAGGCAGAGTCTTTGGAGCTTCCTCTTCAGTTGGAGCCCTTGGCTTTCGAACCCTGTTGGCCTTGGGGTTGCGAGTCTTTGGGGTTACCTCTTCAGTTGAAACCTTTGGCTTTGTAGCTGTTTTGGCCTTCGGGGTTCGGGTCTTTGGGCTTGCCTCTTCAGTTGAAGCCTTCGGCTTTGCACTGCTTTTGGCCCTCGGTTTTCGAGTCTTTTGTGTTGCCTCTTCAACTGCAGCCTTTGGTTTGGAACCTTTTGTGGCGCTTGGCCTCGGGGTCTTTTCAAGGATACAAGCTGCTGATGTACCCGGTGGCTTCGTGTGCGGCAGAAGCTCCACTGCGCAGGCTTTGCAACGGTTGCCTGCAGTGAGCACGCCAGAGTTGACCGCTGCCTCCACGAGCGGCGAGGCAACAGCGGCCAGCTGCACTGGCGAGAGAGCGTTCCCGATCGCATGCAGGGCATGGGTGTCTCTCGAGAACAAGGCCGCGTGGCTTGCACGCTGCCCCAGAGCGCTGCACCGCTCAGCGATGCTGAGCCACCTGTGCAGTCGCATGACCTGCCATGGCCTCGACAAGTCCTCGCAACTCAGAAGAAACAAAGGTGGCCCCGTAGTCCTCAGTGATGGGATCTTGCCCCAACCCCACTTCCCGCCGAAAGTTCTCAAGGGGTTTCGGTCGAGCTCCACAACAACCGTGTTCGAGGGCAGCGGCTTGCCTTGGGCACGATGCTCTTCGATGCACTGAGATATGGTCTGCTTGTACAATGTGAGGTTAGCAGCGTGCCCTGCACACAAACTCTGCACATCGGTCGCAGCCAAGCTCAGATCCAAAATCTCTTCCACTGTGACTGCCGGGAGCAGATCCGTGCAGCACAGGGGGGCAGGGAGGAACGCCTGCATGGGGTCTGGCAGGCAGTCTCTCCATAGCCCTCTGATGAAAAAACGACCTCTCTTGACTGGCAGAAACTCCGCAGCATCCTTTTTCACGGTGTCTACCAAAAAATATGGCAGTGACACTTCAAGTCTCAAGAGCATCTCATTCAGAAACTCAGCATGGTTGGCATCAGCCAAATGTGAGCTGTTTTCCAGAATGAAAAACAGAAGACAGCCACGCGAGCCTTCCTCACATATCATGCTTACAACTGATTCAAAAACATCTGTGCGGCCTTTTTCGTCCTGGGCGCCCTGCCTTAAACCTGTGGATGCAAAAGGCTGACAAGGGGGCCCGCTTATCAAGCCTTCCGCACTTGACAGTTTTGACAGCACGACATTCCTCTCGATGTCCCCTTCTTGCAAACCCAGTTTGACTTCCGAAGTCCCCTGCAACCCCTGGTTTCGCAGAGCTCGCCAAAACGGCACCAAGTCCATGTTGAAATCGTAGGCTGCGCATGGCCTGTAAACAAGCCCTGCTTTCTGCATCCACTCTCGATAAGCAGAAATGCCTACACAGGGCTCAGCAACCACAGGTGCACGCCCGAGCTTTGAGCTCCAAGGACTCATCGCATACAGGAGCTTCGCTGCCCCAGTCTCCATCATGCTGCAACCCACTAAAAACAAAAGCTTGGCTTGAGAAAGAAAAGAAATCAGGATGATGGCTCCGGCTGTCTACGCTATTCTTGGAACTGGCTTTGCTCACTCTCAGTGACAAACTCAGGACTGATGTAAACATTTCCACCCACAGAAAAAGACAAGCAATCATGCAATGCAGTCTCTCAGTCAGGCAATTGGGTGGCACAGTCTACCCTTGCAATGCACTTGTTTCCATTTCCATGCAAGGCCTTGCGACAGGCAATCATGCAATCTCTGAGTCATGCAATTCGGCGACAGCATTCCACCGCAAACTCTTATTGTCTGCGACAGCATTCCACCGCAAACTCTTATTGTCGGCGACAGCATTCCAGCATTCCACCGCAAGCTCTTATTGCCGAAAAAAAAACCGCACTCAGATTCTGGACCCTTCCTTCCACCATTGCCACCACCAAGTGGTCCCATCATCTGTCTCCATTCGTTGACCCTTCCTTCCACCATTGCCACCACCAAATGGTCCCATCATCCGTCTCCATTCGTTTCCAGCACCACTTCCAAATGATAGTCGCAACCCTTTCCCCTCGCGGGGATCTGGATCGCTCGGATCGCTCCTGTGTGCGGCGGGTGATCACACTAGTGATCACACTGCTGCCCGCCTGCGGCTGGGTCGCATCAGTGATCACACTGCTGCCTGCCTGCGGCTGGGTCGCATCGGTCTCATGCACTGGAGAGTCACCTCGTTTGCGTTTGCCAGGCATACCCCTGGCGCTTTTTTTCTTTGCTGCTAACACAAACAAAGCCTCGAGAGAAAACGGCTGCTGTGCAAAGAGTTTAGAGGACGCAGAGGACATCATGAGACGTGGGCGGGACCGGGGCTGCGCGGAACTCGGGCGGGACAAGGGCGGGACATGGCGGGACGTGGGCGGGACATGGCGGGACATGGGCGGGACATGGCGGGACATGGGCGGGACATGGCGGGACATTGGCGGGACATGGGCGGGACACGGGCGGGACATGGGCGGGACATGGCGGGACACGGGCGGGACATGGGCGGGACATGGGCGGGACATGGCGGGACACGGGCGGGACATGGCGGGACACGGCGGGACATGGCGGGACACGGGCGGGACATGGGGGGACACGGGCGGGACATGGCGGGACATGGGCGGGACATGGCGGGACATTGGCGGGACATGGGCGGGACACCCAAAACGGCCCCACACACCCTCGGGCCCCGCCCCGGACACCTTTCCCGGGCCCCGCCCCGGACATCCCGGACACAACCCCGGACATCCCGGACACGACCCCGGACATCCCGGACACGACCCCGGACACCCGAACACGAGACCCCCAAACAGGTGCTAAATCCCCTGCAAACGCCCTCCAGAGCCCTCCCAGTGCCCCCAAAGCCCCCCCGAAGACCCCCAGGGCCGCCCCCTTGAGAATTCACTGTGTTTTCTGTGTTCTGTCCTCTTGTGGCCTTAAAACCCTTTATGAGTTCAACATGCCCGGCAAAAACAAAACTGAAACGCTTCAGTAGTTGTTTTGCAACAAACGCTCGACCGTGATGATTCCTGGTTGTAGTTTTTTCTGGCTGTGCACTTGACCACACGCCCCGCCAGCCTGCTGAGAACGAATCTTTTTTGGCACGACTGTGCTCGGCAGTGCTTGGTGAGTGGAACACTGGAGCTACTTCCGACTTGGCCTTTTCAGCTTCAGTTGTGCTTGGTGCCTACGGGTTCAGGTTTCCGGCTAAAAGCTTAAAAGCTGTAGTAGCTGTATTTTGCTTGGTGCCTAAGGGTTCAGGTTTCCGGTTTCCGGCTAAAAGCTTAAAAGCTGTAGTAGCTGTAGCTTTGCTTGGGGCCTAAAGGCTTTCGTGAGCTAAGGGCGGGTGAAGGCCAGTCGGGCTCCTACCCTACGGCCTGGCTCTACGGCCTAGCTACCGCGGCCTAGCCTCCTCTGCGAGAGCCGAATCTTAGGGCTCTGGGTCCAGGATCGCACGGATCTTAGGACACCAGGCCCAGGATTCTTAAAAAAAAAAAAAAATCTTCGATGTTAGGACTACTGCTGCTGCATGTCCAGCATCTTCGTGGTGGCATCGAAAAAGGCCAGCATCATCTGGGGGATCTGAGGGCTCTGGCTCTGACCCGCCACCATGGCCCGATCCCTTGGCGATGATTTGCTGCGGCCTAGCTGCCCTGTCGGCTCCTTCCGCGAATCGCGCCCACGGCGGCCGGAGCTTGCCGCAGGCTCGCTCGCCCTGCGGCTGCGGGAGCGGCCCGAGAAGCGTCGGTCCATGTGCTCGCTGCCGCGGGAGCTCTTGCGGCTCCCTCGAGAGCTTGCCTGGCCGCTGCCTTTGCGGCTCCCCCGAGAGCTTGCCTGGCCGCCGCCTCGAGAGCTTGCCTGGCCACGGCTCTGGCGGCTCTCACCACGGCTTCTCCGGCGCCCACGGCTGCCACCATCATCATCTCGGCTCTCTTCACGCCGCGGGCCACGTCTGTGCGGCGGCTCCTCCACACGCCCCCTGCTCCGCAGCTGAACCGGCGGCCTGTGCTGGCTCATGCTAGCCGCCCGGTCCTCCTTTGATGGCTGCTTCTTCCGCTTATTGTGCATGGCCTGCAAGCATTCCTTAGCCTCGTCAGAGTTCGGGTGCGTGCCCAGGCAGTGCTGCAGCATGTCCCACCTGCGCATGAACTGCCGTGAGCAGTGTCTGCACTGGCACGCACCCGAGCTCGCCTGCTCTTCCGCAGGCTTTTGGCCGGCCACATTTTGGCCGGCGGCGTGGAGCCGCCACTGGCGGCAGTATTCGCTGTTCTCCAGGTGGCTTTGCAGGCCTTCTTTCTTCACACACATCCAGCAGTGCTCGCAGCGAACGACATCTGCCTCGTCCGCTGAGTGCCGGCTGCGGTTCTTCCTCGCAGGCCGCGCTGCAGGCTCGCCCTCCGCCGCCTCCGCCTCCTTGTCTTCCTTGGGCTCCTTGGCCTTGCCGCTCTCTTTCTCGTCGGCCTGGGCCTCGTGTGCCTGCTTGGCCTCCTTGGCAGCGGGGGCTGCACGGGGCTTTTCTTTCTTGCTGGAGGACTCACTGTTGCCTCCGCTGGAAGAGCTGCTCTCCTTCTTCTTCTTGCGCTTCTGAGCAGCCTCCTCCTTTTTGCAACCCTTTTCTTCTTTCTTCTTCTCCTGGTCGTGGTCCACCACCACGATATCATCCTTCCGCGACTGGGAGTCCGGCTCCTTGTCCTCGTCCTTCTTAGCCGCCTCCTCCTCCTCAGACTCCTCGTCGTCATCCTCGCTGCTTAGGTCCACCTGGCCAGGATTTTTTTTTGGCGCCGGCATTGCTGCAGCCCCCGAGGGGTTAGCAGCAACACCGCCACCTGTGGCTGCACCGTGGGCTGCACCCGTGCCAGCAGAAGTGGCCGCCGCCGCCGGCGGATGCGGCGGCAACAGCACAGGCGGCAGGTGTGGAAGCTGCGCCTCGCCCCACTGTTTGTAGACCACCGGCACCCACCTGCGAGCAATTTTTTTTAAGGTGTTGGGGGTTTTGCTTTGCTTTTGAGAGGCTAATCTGTTCCAACAGACACCTGCAACCTGGCTTGCTGCTACACCTATAGCGGGGACGCTAAACTGACTACTGTGCATCCTGTAGCTCCAGGGTAGCTTCGTGCAGCCCACAGACCAGGTAGCGTGCCGATCCAAAGTGCAGCCTGGGAAATGGGTAGCGTCGAAAACGCAGCCCGAAACCCAGGTGAGCACACGGTGGCCGCATCTGGCTCTGTGAGTTAGCAAGCTTCTTACTCTAGGGGCTTAAGGACTGCCTGGGTTTCAAAGCTTTGTAACTTTACAGGTTTCTCACCGCAAAGCTTTCGAGACTCGACCTTCTCCCTGCCGGCCTTCCGTAGTGGGAGAAATGCCAATGCATTGGCCCCTGCACAGCCCAAAGGAGCCGAAAGGGGCTGCGGGCAGTCACACATGCACGGGCAGTCACACATGCACACAGTGACCGAGGTACTCTTGCAGCAAACGGAAGCAGCACAGTCAGCCAACACGTGTCCTGCATCCAAACAATGCAACAAACTAAAAAAAAACCCTCAAACGTTCACTCTGACTGCCGTGTGTTGCATCAAGCGATCCGGAGCATCATGGCATCCACCTGCTCTTCACTTGGCTTGTCCGCAATGTGAGCTTCAGCTCTGCGGTGGTGAGCTGCTCGCATTTGCCAAGCAAGCAAAAAGGCAGCAGCCCGCCTGCGGCTGCCATGATGCCGTACAAACGTGTACAAGCGGCAGCCGCTGTGTGTCTCGCAAGCAACGAATGCTCGGAGCTGACCGCTGGAGTGTGTGAAATTGTCAAAATGCACTACCTGTGTCCTACCGCCTCCCAAGTCGATTTCTAGAGGAGCGACACGTCTACCACCGCTGGCCATGCTTGGCTGCGGCTCTTCTGCTTGCATGAGCTTTTCAGGCAGCTCTTGCACAAGCTCTTCTAACTCGGCATCATCAGCCTCTGGGTCAAGCTCCAGACCTGTAGCCGCATCTCTTGTCAAGCTGCGGCCAGCAGGTCTTTTTTTCTTCTGCGCGAACCGAGCATTGATTTCCTCTGCAGAAGCATCCCGCAAGCTGCTGAGATCGTCCTGATCCACCAAGAACTGATAATACTGCTGGGGGCCTTTCAAGTAAATGCCCGACAAGTTGCCGGGCTTTTCCCATATAAGCCGACTCAGCATCAAAGCTCTGAGGAAGGGGAGGCTGCAAACTAGAACGTCATCTGGAAGACGTTCCTCTCCCTGCTTGCGATGCCACGCTTCCCGGCCCAGCCCTGGCTCCCAGCCCAAGACAAACAACAAACGAATTAACTCCAACTTTGATCGGCCTGGCATCTGGCCTCGAGTCAACGTCGTTTGGTCAAGCTCCCAAAGCAACAATGGCCGTGCCAGCACCAAGCTTGCACTGTAGGTCAACTTGCCCGTCAAGGCGACGGATACATCTGAGAACATATCAGTCTCGCAGATGACAAGACCTCGGTCACGCAAGCCTTCCAGTGCAACAGCATCGAAGTGTTCAAGGTCTGTGGCATACACAGCAGATTCAATGCCGATGGCCCTTGCTCGCAGCAACTCTTTGATAGCTTGCATTTCTCGGTCGCTACACGGAGCACCGTAGACCTGCAGCACCGCAGAGTCGTCCGCATTCTGCACGACATGGGCAGGGGGGTGCAGGATGTCGAGGGCATCTTCCACATGCGGATCCGGAGGCGGTCGACTCAACAAGCAGGCAGGATCGCTGTCTAAGACAATCTCTGGAAGTTTCTGCACTTGCGGCTCCTGCAGCAAACCTGGCTGCGTGGACTCGTCTCCCAGAGCCAAGGCCAGTTCCGCAGGCATAGCACGCCAGAGCAAACAGTTTGCACAAAAGGCTTTCAAGTTCTCTGCTGTGCACACCCTTGCCAAGTCGAGAACCTCGATCCGCACATTCGTGCACGCCACCCGCACATCTCCACCAAGGCCGTGCACGCCCTGGGAAACATCCACGTCGTGGAAACGCTGCACAACCACACAGCTGCGGCGGCCTAGCTTCGGGTCTGTGATGTGTGCAGCAGGTCGCGAAACACGAGCATCCGTTCTTGCTTCTGGCCTGGCATCCAGCACCGAGCAGAAAACCGAAGCACGATCACTTACCCGAGGGTGGACGTCGGCTCGCAGAATAGACAGCAGCACGTCGGTTCTGAAGGATGCGGCTGGGTCTTCACATCTCCGACCCCTGTCGACAAGTAGCTCAAAGACATGCGTGGACACACTGAAAAACACGCCCGTCGCCAAATGGCCTTTCAGCCAGTTCACTACCTGGTGGGAAGCACTCGGAAGCTTGAAGCTTCCGGCCAGTAACAAAGTCTGATCTCTCAAAGTTTGGCGGTAAACGGCATCAGCACGAACAGAGTCCTCGCAATCTTTGAAGTGGTCTTCCTCGCTATACCCGTACAAGCGGGAAAGCCTCTTTGGCGTGTCCATAAGTCGAACCTCTTCGTGAGTGAGCATGTGCTCCAGCAGGCTACTCCAAAGGCGCCTGCTGCGCCAATTGTTGACCAAGAAAGCGAGCTGTTTCTCATCTTCCAGCATCTCCAACACTTGATCTCTGCGCTTGCGGCTGCAGACAACTGCAGGCCCAGCCTTTGTGAGACCACGGTTTGCTGCAACCTTGACACCGACATGCTCTCTCTCCGTGTGTCGCTCGGACAAAGAAACAAAGGCATATTCCTGTACTTTCCAAAACAACGCTGGCCATCGATCAAGGGGCACGTCATCCTCCGAGTTCAGAAATTCTCGGAGCATGCGGCCTGTGTCGGTTGGTCCAAACAAAGCATGTGTAACAGAGTCTAGAAGGCCGACTTGGCCACTGGAGATCATGTTGTCAACGTTCTGAAGATGTGGCCGAAGAACCTTTTTCACTCGGCCCCAAGTCTCGCCCATATACCCCGCAAACGCTGCGGCAAACACCCATGGTACTTGCTGAGCATACGCAAGCTTCTGCTGGATAACGGCAACAAATACTTTGTTGCACGTGTCCGCCATGTGCGCCATCCGACTTGCAGTTTCACTAGAACGAGACAAGAGATGCGCAAGAACACTAATCTCGTTGTTTGTCATGGCCTCTTGCAAAGCTCCCTGGAGATTGCCAACCGCAAGCCAAGGCAAGCGCCTGCCTTTCCAACAACAGTTTATCTTTTCCCAGTTTTCTGGGTC